ACAAAACAATAAAAATCTCTACCCTTACTTATAGGCTTACATCTGAGAAAGCTAAGCGCCGCCGCCCCCCACCCCCGCCAAAGGTTAAATGTCCTATGGCCAAAGTCTTTGGGCTAAGCTAAAACCAAGTACTGAGCTCCTTTTCTTTCTCTTCCTACTCTAAGTATGGGACTAAACAGAGCCTGTTAATCCCTAGGATCACTCTTCCACAACTGAAGAGCAGATTTACCCAGAATAAGGAGGTTCTGCTGGCACTAACATCAATGTCCTCTCCATGTTCTGATTTCCAAATATGTCACTATTGTTTTGTTTGTTTTTGAGAGCCCTCCTCTGCCTGCTAGCCGTCTTCAGCTAGAATATACACACTCCTAGTATTTGAAACTCAAGATAACTTAATTCAAACTCCAAGTTAAGTTTCTCCTTCAACTTTCCTATTTCTAGTAATCGTACCACCTGCCTCCAAATTATTGGGGCTTCAAGAATCTCTGTAACAGCGCTGACTCATCCTTCTCCTTCAACCTTGACACGCGTGTGGGCTGCCAAGTCTGGTAGATCATAACCTTTTATCATTTCTCAGTTCTATTTCATTTTCACAACAATAGCCCATCCAGGCCCCTTTACCTCTGAAGGGGATGCCCTGTACTTTTATTGTCTTCAAGGTAGCTGCCAGGCTATAATCACCTTCTATGCCAAAAGACTGCTGAAACGAAGTTTTGATCTTATCAGCCCTCTGTTCACTAACCTTTAGTACCTACTCCTTTCTGAAATTAAATACCAAGTCTCCAGCCCAGCTTTCCAGGAACTTCATCAAATGGCTCCAAGATATTTTCCTAGCCTTGTCTCCCTTTATTCATATCATGTATTTTAGCAAAATGAACCTGACAACTTGTTGCTCATTTTTCCTTTTTGCTTGGAATGCCTCTTTCATTCCCACGTTACTCTTCCAAGAACACTTCAAATGCAGTTTCTTTCATGAAACTCTGTCATGCTCAGACTAGATGAAATGTCTCCTTATTCCAAAGTCTGATGATGGTAATTTGAAACTTGGGATACTTCTCTGTTCTGCCTTGGGTTATAGTTTTCTGGCTACTTGGCATATTTGCTTGTCAGTTTTTTGAGGGCAAGGATTTCCTACTTATTTTGGTAGCCCTAGGACATACTTTCACGGAGCGGGTTCTCAGCTAGACGTATTTAGTCAAAGTTGTTGAGAAAAAAGTTAGCCACCCCTCAAGTGAGAATAATACTTGTCAATATCTCTCAAAGAGAGACTACTTTCTTCTTTAGCTGATTTCAAAATTGAAAAGAATCAGCCTAAAAAAGAACACATACCGCTTTCAATTCCTAGAGTCATATAAGGGACCTATGTGACTGCAATTTTTCTTAAAAAATAAAAGAACAAAACCCCCAAAATATAACAACACAACCCTAAAGATGGAACAAAAGCAATGAGACCACATAGACACAGTGTAAAGGTAGAAGAGACACCAGAAATATATTTGCCCACGGGGCACAGAACAGAAAGAATTCTACCCAGAAGGATTCAGAATCCTGCTGGGAGTGGAGGTGTAAAAATTGCATTAATGCGGGGACTTTCAGTCCCTTAGCAGCCATGGGATACTAAAAACCCTTTGGCAGGGGGAGAGAATTTCAAGAATCAATTACTCAAAAAGAAGCTTATTATTGCTTTGCAGATGAGATTTCCTAATTACACCCTTCACTTAAAAGTACACTGAAAATTACTGTATTTTTACTCAGCTACCAGGTATGACCATATTTCTCACCTTAGCGATCTAGGTTTTCAACATCTCTTTTTCCCACACTTTTTTTTTTTTTAATTTTTTAAAAGATTTTATTTATTTATTTGACAGAGAGAGATCACAAGTAGACGGAGAGGCAGGCAGAGAGAGAGAGAGGGAAGCAGGCACCCTGCTGAGCAGAGAGCCCGATGCGGGACTCGATCCCAGGACCCTGAGATCATGACCTGAGCCGAAGGCAGCGGCTTAACCCACTGAGCCACCCAGGTCCCCCTCCCACACTTTTTTTTTTTTTTAAGATTTTATTTATTTATTTGACAGAGAGAGATCACAAGTAGGCAGAGAGGCAGGCAGAGAGATGGGGGAAGCAGGCTCCCCGCTGAGCAGAGAGCCGGATGCGGGGCTCAATCCCAGGATCCTGAAGACAGAGGCTTTAACCCACTGAGCCACCCAGGCACCCCTCTTTTAAAATCCATTCAAAACAGCAATGTTGATTAAGAATTCACTGAAGCAGGAAAGACAAGGGAAACTAAAGGAAATACCTATTTTAGTTTGAAATATTCTGAAAACATGAGTGGGCAGATATGCTGATTATGCTGACTTCACTGACTACTTAAATTATCTTTTTCTTTCCAAATCTTTTCTATTAAAATGCATTTTTCATTATAAGGTAATATAACTTCATCATAGAATAGTATGGAAAAATATTAACCACAATATTATCAGTTTCAACACTACTTCTGTTAATACGTTGGCATTATCTCGTCTCACTGATTTTTTCATTTTCCCTTTCCCTCAGGGAAATCACTATGTATTTCTAATTTGTTCTCTGATTTCTTCACTCTACAAACTATAAACATTTTCAGGTTGCTACAAGTTTTCCTAAATATTGTTTTAAGTGGCTACATAATATTCCACTGAATAAATGCACTGCAACTCACTTTACTATAACCCAGTTTATCTGATAAAAGACCTGAGCTAGATCCATAACCATTCCCTTATAATTATATAGGTGGGCAATTTCTCAAACTTTGTTTAAAATCGCACTGCAACAATTTTATGCACATAACTTAATCTGTATTTTGGGTTGTTCTGTTACGATTGATTCCCAGAAGTAAGATTTTTCTATCAGAGAGAATAGTAACGTCATCCAATTACCTTTTAGAAAATTTTAACAATTTGCAAAGTCCAGAGCAAGGTAGGACAGTAGAGAGTTTAACTGTGCACTCAGCTACACTTTTAACAAGGGAGGTCCAGGGAGAACAATCGCAGAAGTCAACAATATTCTGTTGTCAAATCAGAAGTCAGACAAATTATAATTCTTAGCCAACTACTTTGGTTAAAGCATATAACTATGGGGGTGCCTGGGGTGGCTCAGTGGGTTGGGCCTCTGCCTTCGGCTCAGGTCGTGATCTCAGGGTCCTGGGATCAAGCCCCGCGTCCGGCTCTCTGCTCAGCGGGGAGCCTGCCCCCCACTCTCTCTGCCTGCCTCTCTGCCTGCTTGTGATCTCTGTCAAATAAATAAATGAAATCTTTAAAAAAAATAAAAAGCATATAACTATGGACCCAACTAGTGTACACAATTTGCTAAACCCCATCTTTTTGCCTGTCTACTCTGTCTTTTAGTTACTAAGACACAGATTTCCTTCCTTTATACTTTTTTTTCCTTACCAAGCCACACATTTCGCTAAGAGTATGTACTTACGGTGAGTCTATCCATTATTTGTATGTGTACGTCACTGTACACATATGTGTTTGTACTTTATATGCTATTTTGAATCTATGTGTTTCCATATGTACATCTGAGAAAGTGTTTTTGCATTTTATTATAAAAATATATGTGAATATTAAAAAGTGAGGTCAAGGGTAAGGAGAACAAGCTAATTTGATAGGTGATAATGTCTCTCTCTGTGTGTGTGTGTGTGTGTGTGTGTGTGTGTGTGCATATCTGTTTAGTATCCTTTGCTTGTTTATCTACTGGGGTCCTGAAGTTTTCTCTTAGCAATATACAGGTGACCGTTGGACAACAATGGGGTTAGGAACACGGGCCAACGTGAAGTTGAAAATCCCCATATAACTTTGACTCCCCACATAACTGCTGATAGGCTCCTGTTGACCAGAAGCCTTACCAATAACACAGTCAACAAACACGTTTTGTGTGTTATATGTACTATATACTGTACTTACAATAAAACTAGAGAAAAAAATGTTACTAGGAAAATCGTGAGAGAAAATACATTTACAGTACTGCACTATATTTACTGAAAAAAAAAATCTGCATGTGGGGCGCCTAGGTGGCTTGGTGGGTTAAGCCTCTGCCTTTGGCCCGGGTCATGATCCCGGGGTCCTGGGATCGAGCCCCACGTCTGGCTCTCTGTTCAGCGGGGAGCCTGCTTCCCTTCCTCTCTCTCTGCCTGCCTCTCTGCCTACTTGTGATTTCTGTCTGTCAAATAAATGAATAAAATCTTTAAAAAAAAAAATCCGCATGTAAGTAGACCACACAAGTCAAACATGTGTTATTCAAAAGTCAACTGAATATGATATAAAGATGAAAGTCGTAATTTTTACTTCCCAATAAGTGACACCTTTCTTTCAATGTTGTCAAATCTGTTGATTTTTATGTGTCTGCCTCTTGCCTTTAGGCTGAGAAAAGCCTCTCATATAGAGCACTAGTTTCTCAAACAATATTAACACTGAAGGATGGATGACATGGCTTTCTGTGGAGTGGTCTAAAGCAAAGCTGAGTCTTCATTTAGGTCCACCTCAGATCTTGGCCAGCTCTAGAATTAACTTAGGGGCAGGGGCAGAGAGGGGAGAGAGGTGCCACTTTATGCCTAGGTCAGCTGGAAGTCCAAATTACCCACTCTTCTTAATCTGCAAAAAAAAACCCCAGCATTGGCAAGAGTGCCACATTGGACTGCATGCAGCTGAGACCCAAAACGGGCTACCCTGTTCACCCTGTATGTTCAACTTTTTTCAGGCCTGTGGCAGACTCCCCTTTCAGCCAACAGACTTGGACAAGCCCAAATTCTCTAGACTGGATACTTCATGTAAATTGCCTGGCCACATCTCAGCACCATTGCCTAGCCCCGAGGAATGCTGGAACGCCGCACACCACTGAGAAATGGCAAGTTCTTTGTCTTTAATTTCAGTATATACACCGAAGCAGAGAAGCTGAAGAATTTCGGTTTTAGTGTTAGCCAAGAAGAGGGAGAATGTCTGAAATAAGGAAGGCCCAACACGTACCTGATTTCGCAGAGGTGGCTGTGATGGCCGGTCCCTGTGCGTGTGGCTTTCTCGAGTTATTGCAGACGCGCCAGAATCTACGTGAACTGACCCTACTGGAGTAGGCTGGAAAGACAGAACAGAAAGTCAAATGGAAAACAGGTCCAAGCTAATGCCTCCGCAAAGGTGAGCATCATTCTAATTCTAATAAAAGAGTAGTGATTATTATTTTTAGCCAACAAGGGCAGTTTCCAGTCTTCTTTTGTTTATTTATCTGCAAAAGGGAGGCCGCTTGTCCTCAAGAGCTCACTGGAGAGTAGCTTACCTTGGAAAATAAGGAAAACATCCTACAGTGATGTGTTAGCATGCTCTCAGGCACTGTGGACCCCTGGCCAAGAGAGCCAATTCAAGAGTTTCCTAAAGTTCTGGGTTCCACTCCTCCAGAAGTCAAGACTTTCACAGCTTACATAGCACCACCGTCTGGATCACTCAACTGAAAGTTCTTCTTCAGAACTGGCTTCAGTTCTGATACCTTAGGACATACGGGGCATAATCTTAAAAACATAGGAAGGAGTTGCTCTTACTTCCCAACTGCTACCTATGGCATCACCCTGAAAAGGCTGGCAAATGTGAAGTCTACAGTCAAAGGAATGTTTTTCTCATGGACTTAACCAGAAAGTCTGGCACGTCAAGTGGTGAGGCAGCGCTGGTCTGAGGTGAGGAGGTAAAACTGGATACTTACAATAGGCCTCCCGACCCAATCGTAGGCATAGTCGAAGGTGTAGCCTTTCCTTTCAAAGAGGTCTGTGAAGAGTGTCCGTAAATACTCATAGTCAGGTTTTTCAAAGAAGTCTAATCGCCTGACATATCGCAGGTAGGATGCCATCTCTTCTGTAGAAAAGAGGTGAAAGGCCATGTTCACGAGCTGAATGCTTCCCATGGCAAGAAGCTCTGGACCAAGCCAAGAATATCTGGTGTTTTCTTTATGACCCAAATGAAAGTGATAAAACCTGTCTTGGTCTAAATGACAATAAAAGGAAATGTGAGCGAGCACCCTCATCTAGAGATACCAAGTCATGGTCACCACCTACTTCAAAGCTTCAGGCACAGTGGCTGGAGCATCCTTTTAGCATCCTACCTGGAAAGTTTTCACAGAGAGCTTCAATGGGAGTATTCCTTTTGGTGTCACCAATTTTTTGATATCTCTCTTTTAATGTATCAGCCTGTAGAGAAGAGAAAGAAAGTTATTTGGAAAGAGGTCCCAAGTATGGGTGGGGCAATATGTTTGGGGAGGCAATGGTTGTTTCAATCAAATTGGCAGGATTTGCTAGGCTCAGTCTTCTTTCTAATAAATAAGAAAGGTAGTAGAGATGACGTATTTAATATCTGCTCTGTTCTGGAAGGTTTTCCTCGTAAGTATGTTTAGTAGTCTCAGATAAACACCATCCAATGTAATGAGACGAGTAGCTAGAAGAAAGTAAAAATATTACATAGTGGTATTTTCAAAATCTCAGAAGCTTAGTAATCTCCCATGGCCAAAGGGGTTCAAAAATGATTCAGCCTTCCCCTTCTTAGATCAGTTCTATGATAAGATTAAAAAAACAAAACAAAACTGCGAATCTAAGCGGGGGCAGACAGATAGTTGGCTCCACAGAATATTTACTGTGAAGCTGAAGAGAAAAAAATAACAAGTAGTAGAAAAATATGCCTTTCTGCAATGTGCTTCCAGAGGGAAAAGTGTTATCTATGACAGAGGCATGGCTAACAGACAGGTTTTATACAGGTCAGTGGCTCAAAGCAGCCAAGTCTGGTTTGCTCCGAATTATAGACAGGCTCCTGGAGCTTGGATCAACAACGTGGTCTCAAGGGGGTCTCATGAGGCTCTCCCTAGCCTGCTACACTCAGCTTTAAGCAACAGTGTTCTAAGGTAAGTTGGAGAAATTTTAGATCTACGACTGCCACTAAAATGATTCATGGATCGTGAGAACATTTCAAACAGTAACACACAAATGCACTGCTTGGCTATGTGATGAGCAAACAGAATGTGACACTCTGATAACTATCAGTACCAATGACAAGATATATATGACCAGAAGGCTAGGAGGTGTTAGAAGAGGAATTTAAGGGCAAAGCTTTACTTTTCAGGACAACAGCCTAGAAAGCATAGTGAGTGGATCCTTCTGCCCTTCTGGAGGGAGAGAGGTAGGAGGCTCGGGGCATAGAAGTACCCAAAGCTACTGATTTTCTGTCCATACTAACATGTTGAAATAAATTACAACTCAAAAATATGTCTCACATTTAACTATCTAATGAGACTTAAAATGGGTTATCTGCTCCAACCAGCCAAAGGCACAAAGTAATTACAGTGGTTATGATTATTATCAATAATTAACTTGAACACAAATGCACTCTACCAATACCTACCTAAGGAAGGCTATTTAAACTATATGCTTCATAAGGAACAACTATCGTCTGCATAGGGATTTACTGAACAAAACACATGAACAGCAACATTAAGCCTGGATTTTTATTTTAATTCAGGTGGGTCCTTAGCTTATAGAGGATGAACAAATATTTTCCAGTTCTCTTTAGGGGCACACCCAGCCCTGCTGGCCTTGTTGGTAGAATGTGTAACAGCTGCTGTCATCAATTTGTTCCAGAAATTCCCCAGCACACTGGGAACACTCTTCCTGCTACATAATGGTAGTGGAGGAGGAAAGTGACACAGAGAAAAGCAGCACTGCCAAGGCTGGGAGGGAACAAGGGAAGAGATTATGGGAAACCCCAAAACAAGGAAGAAGGATTCAGAAGGGGAAAAGACAAATGTAGGCAAAACAGAGCTCCCAAAGCCCAGGGGAGCATTTACGATATGTAGACTGATGTTGCCAGTCCCTGCTTCTTATCTCTGTTGCCAGCCCATCTTCTTACAGACATCGAGTCAGCAACCCCTCCATTAACAACTGAGTATTGAAACAAAGCCCTCCGCTGAGCACTTTCAAGGATACCTTGAGTCCTTGCCAGGGTAGGCTGCCTCGAAGGAAATACATGAACATATGGCCTAGGGCTTCCAAATCATCCCGCCGGCTTTGCTCTAAAAGGGAAGACAGATCACACATTATGTTTGCAGTTATTAAAGCAGAAAGGGGTTCAAAACCAAGTAATCCCTTGAGAAGCCCTTCTGTCTCTGGAAAGGCTCTGCTTACTCATTCTTTGTATATCTAAACCAGGAATAGTATTTTAGATCAAAACCAAAAAACACTGTGTACTTCCTTTGCTGTCACGGGCAAGTAAATAGCAAGGGAAAGGAGCAAATCCTAAACTAAAACCAAATCCGAATCACTGACTGGTGGGTAACCACCCTCAGTCACCAGGAAGGTGCTGTCACCTTCCTGAAAGTAAGACAATTAAAATGAAATGTTATTTCCAGTATATGGGCTACAGTTACCCTTTGGGTGACCATCATGGAAAGTGAGAAGTAGATTAAGCAGCTGAAACCTTTAAATGGTCCATTCTGGCTAGGCCTGCAAAGACACAAGCTGCAGAATGCCTGGGATACCTGTCGAGTGCTTTTATTTCATCATAAAAATTAACACTTAAAATTTAGTTTGACATAAACAAATATGGATGTATGATCTCTCAGCTCCAATCCACTTGTACCATGTTCCATAGACACCTTAAGAAAAATTTAAAATGTATTACCTAAGGTGCCTATTATGGGCATATAAAACAGGATCCCCACATTCTGGGCACTTACCATATAAAACAAGTTGCTAGGTTTTTCTTTCTTTTTCATTGGAAAGACTAAGATGGTAAAGAACCAAAGAATGCTTAACAAAAAACTTATTTCATCTCAGAAAACATCCTTATGTATTCTTGGGTTGTCAGACTGAATAGAAGTAGTACATGCCTCTACTCCTTATTTGTCAATTATGACTCATCTCAGACACCTAATGTATTTACTTCTCAGAATCAAGTTTAGGGCTTTATCATAAGAAATTAGAGAGAAAAGACTAAGGGGTTACTCTAGGCTCCATTATGCTTTCTTTTCAGAAAAGAAAATCTAAAAGGCAGGAAAAGCTACTCAGCTCAAAATACAAAAGTACAACATGTTTAAGAGCTGCCTCCAATTATGGGAAATGTACATGAAAAGGAGTGAATAGATCTCTACAGGCATATGGGGAAAGAAAAGGCAACTTTCTAAATCATGGTTTGAAAACGTTTTTTGGCAAGGTGGTCGCTAATGGGAAAGGGAGGCACCCTGACAAGAGAGATAAATAACATAAAATTGAGTGGATGCACATCAATTGAAATAATCTTTAAAAGAATTAAATAAAACAGCAAGGCCAAGAGAAGCTTTTGTCTACATGCTTGCCTGAGGTTTACAACAAATTTTATATATAATAGAAAACAAAAAGCCGTTAGACAAAAAGAGTTTGTTAACCGAACCTAAAGACACACAACAAAAAAGAAAGTACAAGCAGGGTGAGTTGAGGCCTCCCACAAAGCACGGCAGATAGAGGAACCACACCCTGCAGTTTCTCATACTGTATCACACCTACTCATTGCCTTTCCATTTTTACATCTGCTTCCTCTATCAAGAGGCCCCTCTGTGATAAAAATTCACTGGACAAATGGTTGCACTTTTGCTAGTTGAACACTAGAGGGCAAAACTCTCCACATTTTCAATACCGATCAGAAATTCAGAAAAAAAGCCCAACTTCTCTCCACAGCAAAGCCCATTATAAAATGGTTTTGGTTTTTTAAACATCAAAACAAACAAACAAAAAAACAAACAGAAAACACATGTAAACCCACTGGCATAACTAATAAAGTGGTTTTCCAAATACTGAGCACCATGAACAGTAGCTGTGGAATATGGAATAATAGGAAGAGCAATAGTGGGGTGCTTAGGTGGCTCAGTGGGTTAAAGCCTCTGCCTTCGGCTCTGGTCATGATCCCAGGGTCCTGGGATCGAGCCCCGCATCGGGCTCTCTGCTCAGCGGGGAGCCTGCTTCTCCCTCTCTCTCTCTCTGCCTGCCTCTCTGCCTACTTGTGATCTCTCTCTGAAAAAAAAAAAAAAAAAATTTTAAAAAAAAAAAAAAAAAAAAAGGAAGAGCAATAGCACCTGAGTCTGGCCCACTCTTTCCGTTAATTTGATCCATGTGAAATTAAGCATGGCTAAGTCACCTACTTTGGGCCCCAGTCCTCATCTGAAAATACACTGGTTGATTTAGATAATCTGAAAAGTCATTTTCCAGTTCTAAAATTCTAAAGTCATTAATCTGTGGCAATTTCAGACATTAGTAATTAATCTACGATAATTTAAGCCTTTCCAAAAAAAAAAAAAAAAGTGAAAACCAGAGTCATGCTTTGTTTCCATACTTCTTTGAAAACTCCACATTCATTGAATCCAGCATTTCCACATGCCCTCATCTTTTTTCATGAAGGGTAATTCTCCCTTTCAAAGAAGAAAGGTTTTAAGTGTCCTGGGGCTGTCCTAGGGCCAGAAGGACACAGAATTCTTCCACACCATAAAAGCCTGCTCTCAACAATTCAGAAAGACATTTGGTTTTTACATGTGTGACATCCCTGATTTTAGGTCAAATATTCTATACTGGAGGAAAGGGGCTAGGTGACCCAGTGTTCTCACCCTAATTTCAATCATTAAAGAATATAAGATCAAAATTGGCTACCTTAATCAGCAGGAGGTGGCTAATCTGACAAGGTAATGTCAGGTTTAGGAGGATTCTTCCCTTGTTCTCCCTCACAAAATTAATAGGCAATTCTCTCCAAGTCATTTGAAGACACCCTTCTCTTTTTCTGTATTATTAAAAATCAGGATTCAAGTTCCTATGGAGACCTTTCTGCTTTGAGACCCTGACCAGAGTTTAAAGGGCATGTGACAGCCATCTATATGTATTCTCTGTACTATGGAGAGGACAAAATACAGTGACAGGTTCAATGTGACCTGGAAAACTCTGGAACTCAGGAAATTCAAGTTTAGAGAAAAACTCAAAGTTCCAGCAGGAATGGCCACACCAAGAGATGAAAGAACCCAGTCTAATGGCCATACATGCTTAAAACTTACTTTGTCAAATAACTATCATTTAGAGACTTTGCTACCATGAGGCACTATGCTAAACACTTTATATACTTTATCTCTCAGAATCCTACAGTATAAGGCATTACTATCATACCCATTTCATAGATGAGATAACTGAGGCCGAGGGAAGAAGGTTACTGGACCCAAATCACATAGCTTTAAGTGCAGGAGCCAGGATTTGCATCCCTTCTTCTTCTTTTTTTTTAAATTAAAAAAAAAAAGATTATTTATTTATTTAACAGAGAGATACACAGCAAGAGAAGGAACTCAAGCAGCAGGAGTGGGAGAGGGAGGAGCAGGCTTCCTGCTGAGCAGGGAGCCCGATGTGGGGCTCGACCCCAGGACCCTGGGATCATGACCCAAGCCGAAGGCAGACGCTTAACTGACTGAGCCACCCAGGAGCCCCTGTATCCCTTCATTTTAACCATTATCCTGTACCTCATACAAACATAACACAGATAGCCATCCCTTATCTCTTCTTGCCTTTCCTGACAAGAATAATAAAATCAGACACAAATTGCTGTGCCTAGTAAACAGGCATTGAAACAACTTCTAGTCTGTCAGTTAAACCAAATAATCATGACTTTACTATTTACAACAGTCTGTCTCTTAGTAAAAAGGAAGGAAGAGGGAATATTGAACACTATGCAAGAGACCTGTGTTACGTATATTACTCATTCAACCCACAAACACACCCTTGTGAAATATTACTCTCATTTTACAGATAAGTTCCAGGAAGATTAAGTAACTTCTCCAAAATGACACAGATAGTAAGTGGCAGGGGACCTTCTGGTCTAATTTTAAAATATTACATTTAGGAGTGCCTGGGTGGCTCAGTCGTTAAGTGTCTGCCTTCAGCTCAGGTCATGATCCCAGGGTTCTGGGATTGAGTCCCACATCAGGCTCCCTGCTCAGTGGGAAACCTGCTTCTCCCTCTCCCTCTCTCCTGGCATGGGTTTCCTCTCTTGCTCTCTCTCTCTGTGTCAAATAAATAAATAAAATATTAAGAAAAAAATTATACTTAGTTAATTGAAGATTTCCATATGGTTACTAAAAAAATCCTGACAGCATTCATGATTTCAATTCAAGTTGTATCACTTTGTAATATGATTTTTACTCCTAACACCAGAATCCTCATCTGAATACCACGCAGTTTACTCAACAAGCCAACTTTGTAGCCATTTAGTCTTTAAAACACTTCTTAGTGTACAAAAATTCATTAATATTTAAACACCCACTATAATTAGCTATGTCTAGGAGTATAGAATCTGATAATACTGTTTACATGTCTACTCTCCAGAGTAGTGATTTTCAAACATTTTTTTCAATCACTCTGGAACCTTTTCTTCAAACATAATCTTCCATGGAAGCCCATATATAAAATAGATAAAAAGGGAAGCTTTTCTGGAGAAGCTAGTGAGGGGCCCAGGGCCTTGTCTATTTGGCCTTCCCACTGTTCCTTAGACTTCTCTTTAAGTATTCTCCCCTGGTTTAGTTCCTCTTACAAGTAAGGCCTTCTGCCTTCATTAGTGCTTTTAGCAATATTTGTGCCAATTATCTATCCTGAATACAATGCAAGATTCATACAGGTCCTTTCAGGACTGTCGTATAGGCAGTCATTCATACGTAAACACCAAATTCATCATCAGACTTAACTAAAATGCTACCATCTTAACACAAAAATTCAAGTGCCCACACTGCTGAGAAACTAAGTATTTGGAAACAGTATAAAGAATTTAAAATGTTTAAGTTGTTAACAGGATACTTAGGAAAGTCACTAACTTACCACCTTAGTTTTTCAAGTATAAAAATCACTTGCCTTGTGAAGCAATAAGAATCACAAGTTGTAACGCACAATGGGGACAAAAGTATTATTGGAATAAAAAGTTATTTTAAGGGGCGCCTGGGTGGCTCAATGGGTTGAGCCTGCCTTTGGCTCCGGTCGTGATCTCAGGGTCCTGGGATCAAGCCCCGGGATCAAGCCCCACATAGGGCTCTCTGTTCAGCAGGAAGCCTGCTTCCCCCTCTCTCTGCCGGCCTCTCTGCCTATTTATGATCTCTCTGTCAAATAAATAAATAAAATCCTTAAAAAATTTTTTTAAAAAAAGTTATTTTGGGACGCCTGGGTGGCTCAGTTGGTTGAGCAGCTGCCTTCGGCTCAGGTCATGATCCCAGTGTCCTGGGATCGAGTCCCGCATCGGGCTCCTTGCTCGTCAGGGAGCCTGCTTCTCCCTCTGCCTCTGCCTGCCATTCTGTCTGCCTGTGCTCGCTCTCTCTCCCTCTCTCTCTCTGACAAATAAATAAATAAAATCTTTAAAAAAAAAAAAAAAGTTTAAAAAAAAAAAAAGTTATTTTAAGGGGGTGCCTGGGTGGCTTAGTCATTAAGGGTCTGCCTTCAGCTCAGGTCATGATCCCAGGGTTCTGGGATCGAGCCCTGTGTCAGGCTCCCTGCTCAGAGGGGAGCCTGCTTCTCCCTCTCCAGCTCCCCACTGCTTGTGTTTCCTCTCTTGGTCTCTCAATCTCTCTGTCAAATAAATAAAATCTTTTAAAAAAAAAAAAGTTATTTTAAAGATCTGCCCATTTCATGGAGCAGAAAATAAACACACCTTTGCCAAGATGCGTGTTGATAGACATATATCTTGCAGTTCCAGTTAAACTTTTGTGCTCCCTGTAAGGTATGTGTTTTTTGGTTTCAGGGTCAATGTACTCCTTGGCTAGTCCAAAGTCTATAATGTGTATAACATGCTCTTTCTTATTGCCTTGTCGGCCAATCAGGAAGTTCTCTGGCTTCACATCTCGGTAAATGAGATTCTTTGAGTGCACATACTCCATTCGAGAAAGCTAAAAGAGAAAACACATCAATGAAAACATCCTAAAGAAGTCTATTGGGGGAAAAAACATCAAAACATTTTCTTTTATCAGTCCAACATTTTAACTACTGAAATGAAAATAAAACTCATTTCTTTTTTACTTCACTCTTATAAACTAGAAAATATTGATACTTCACTCTTATAAACCAGAAAATAGATACAAATATATATATATAACAAATATCGGGGCATCTGGGTGGGTCAGTTGGTTGAGTGACTGCCTTTGGCTCAGGTCATGATCCTGGAGTCTCAGGATCGAGTCCCACATTGGGCTTCCTGCTCAGTGGGGAGTCTGCTTCTCCTGCTGACCTCTCTCCTCTCATGCTCTCTCTCAAATAAATAAATAAATAAAATCTTAAAACAAAAACAAAAAAAAAATCGAGATAAATGAAAGTGGGATAGCACTGTTCAGCTAAAATGATAATATACAGTTTTATCTCATAATGTTAAAATTTATAAATGATGAAGGGAATTAGGTGTTTTTAGGCTACTTCAGAAAGCACACATTTGAAGCAAAGGGGGTATAGCTCAGGGGTGAGCATCAGACTGCAGAAAGCACACATTTGAGAGGCGAGAGGTATCCCCAGCCAGGATATCAGAATAGGTTGATGCCCTGTGAAGACAGGTGCCACTGCCACATTCACCTCCTGCCCACACCTTCCTATCCTCAATCAGACACGACTCCCCAACCTAATTCTTTCTGTTGCAAAAATATGAGAAGTAAGGTCCAGAGAAGTTAGTACTGGACTGATTTCCCAGAGCTAATCAGCAGCGGAGGTAGAAGTGCAGTTTTTATGTGAAAGTAAATAATAATCATAAAATTACTTCAGAGGCACCTGGGTGGCTCAGTTGGTTAAGTAGCCAACTCTTGATTTCCACTTAGGTCATGATCTCAGGGTCCTGGGATCAAGCCCCACGTTGTGCTCAGAGGGGAGACTGCTTGAGGAGTCTCTCTCTCCCTCTGCCCTTCCGTCCCCTCTGTCTCTAAAATAAATAATCTTTAAAAAAATCATTTCAAATTGCGTTAAGTTTTATTTCTATCTATGACACTTCTCTACTTAGCATAGAAAGGGAAGCTCAAGCATTTGAATTTTGGACTCAAAAGTCAAGGTCAAGGTCAATTTTTTTTTTTTAAACATTTCGAAGCTTTTACTGTAAAGTGGGTGAGACCATCACCATTTCAGACCATTAAAGACCATTTGCATCCTTCCTCTGAGAGGGTGACAAACTCCTCAAAGTTGAGAACTGCCTTAACTCTTGAACTGGAACTGGTATGCAATTTGGCCGGAATTGAGAGAGCTGTCTCTTCAGCTCTGCCAGTCTCTGTGAAAACTAGAGGCCAGAGAACTAAGACAGGTTCTTGGTCACAGCACTCTGGAATCTGATTGTTAGGGCAGTGGGTTACATCACCAATCCTTTCTTGGATGCAAGGGTGAGGGGAGAGGACAGAACCTTACAGCCATATGTTTAGAACCTATAAATAAAACATCAAGGAAATTACTTGCATTTGTACAATTTCACCTAATCATCCTCTTTCTCCTCAATCTAAATTATAATGCTTCCACTTCAGTTAAGGGCAGGGTATTGCTCCAAGGTGCAAATTCTTAAAATAGAGAGCACAGAAGATGCAGTGTGACTTCTCTGGGTTAACCCTTTTTGCCCGGCCTGCTTCCTAGAATGCCATCAAGCTTCTGAGTGTGCGTTCACTAGGTGTTACTACAGCCAGGAAAGCACTAAAAGGGTCACAAGGGTGTAGCTGGGGGATCTATCTTTCCGCAGAATAGCAATGCCAACTTACCAACTGGATGGCTATCATTAACACCGTCTTCAAAGTAAAAGTTCGGTCACAGAGGTCAAACAAATCCTCCAAGCTAGGGCCAAGGAGCTCCAGCACCATGGCATTATATTTCCCACATGGTCCGAAGTAATACACCTGTGGAAGACCTTCACCTGCAAGCAGAGGGGAAAAGGGGTACAGAGTGGGGGACACAAAACCCAAAATGTGAGATAGCTCCATCAGCACTGAGTAGAAATACAGAAAGCACAATTTGTAAGATTTCCATTTTCTTTCATAGTCCCTCCTGGAGAACCTAAACTGAGTAGAGCAGCTTCAAAGGGAACTAATAATGGGCAGGAAAGGCGAGCCACTGCACAATGGCCTCAAATAAGCAGCTATTTTATACCAGAGTGACAAAGGTATTTCCACTGCTGTACAAGACAGAGAATGGTCCCTGATCCATTAACTGGATCAGAGCATAAACTATTCTCCCCCAAGGAGGCCCGAAAGTGCACTGTCATAAAAGGTTCAAAAGACAGCTCACTGCGCTCAAAGCCAGCCCACCTGGCCCTGGTGCATTAGCTGGTTTCATCTGCGCTCCCTATGCTCACTGCCAATGCCATATGGGCTGTCTGCAGCTGTTGCCCCAAGGAGAACTCAGACTGAAGGGTTGAGGTCACAGAGGGTGCAGCCTGACCCTCTTCTCACAGGGAGTCTCTGTACTTTCCTGTTTTCTATCAGCTGGGGCAAAGCCAACACACAGGGTTTGGTTACTGTAAGTAATTCTGAAAGGAAAAGGAAGGGAAAAAAAAAAAAAAAAGCTGGGCTTTCCCCAGATTTGAAATTCATAGCTCTAAGATGCCAAAATCTAGACTTTCTCACCTAAGTGGCAACTTGTGAATGAATTTCCTCTCTAAAGTGTATTGTAAATAAGAGGCATTCAGTAAATAACTGTTAAATGGCACCATGTGAGTGGTGGATACGAACGAAGACTACAGAACATTTTAAAAATCTGGTCTCATAGAGCAGAAGCACTTCCATCTTACATGTTTATATATACCATGGTCTGCAGTTGCTTCTGCCTACAAGTTTTTTAGACAACAAAATTCTCTCCATCTCTCCATTCTCTTTCTATGTACCGGCGCGATACAAGCAGAGGGAATTCTCTCTGCCATAATCTGAATGCTTATGTCCCCCCCACCCCCATCCTCAAATTCCTATGTTGGAAACCTAATGCCCAATGTGATGGTTTTAAGAGGGGGGGCTTTGGGAAGTGATTAGATCATGAGGGCAGAAACCTTGTGACTAAGAGTAGTGCCTTATACAAGAGAACCTACAGTGCTCCTTAACGCCTTCTACTGTGTGAGGACACAGCAAAAAGTCAGAAGAAGGTCTCTGTCAGAACCTGACCATGACGGCACCCTGATCTTGGACTTCCGGTCACTGGAACTGTGAGAAAGATGTTTCTGACTTCATAAGCCACCCGATCTGTGGTACTTTGTTACAGCAGCCCAAATGGACTTAGACAATACCTACTACTTAAACCTCTAGCCCAGTATGCCCAACCTTGTCCCCAGCATAAATCTTGTCTATCTGGAGTGGGTACGCTTCGTTGCTCTGACATCTATTTCATGCCTCTTGCATGTACTGCTGCTACAGAGTCTCTTGTTCCATCTACGTACGAAGCAACTCAAGTGTTCTGATATGTTCATCCCTAGCTCATATCGTCTAATGTAGTATACTCTGCTCCTACCAGCTCCATAAATATCCACTCAGTTGTCCTTGTGGTTGTTTTGGTTCTCCCTATCTCTAAAAGGAAACAAGATTTAATTTGAAGTGTCTTTTTTTCCTCTGTTGTTCTGAACTCATTTTTCATTTTTATTTAAAATATGCAAAACCTCATAGCTGTTCCCGATAAGTCCTGCTGAAAAATCCAAAGCAGAACACCACCATAGACAGTCATTGCTTTTATTAACCAGACATATGGTAGATGGTAGTAGTTTGGGGATTTTTCAAATTTACATCCTATATAATAGTTTTTGATGTCACTAAAATTTGATTTTCCTAATGTAAATATTATATTCTTCAAAACAGATTGTGGCAGGCCTGTTAGTGGCCTGTCCAGTGTCTACGATCTCTTTCTTATTTAATAACAAAATTTCTAATTATTGAGAATAGCAATCTGCCCAGTTCTAACTTTTCAACCTCCCTTGATAACAGGAATGACTAGTGAAACAGAAGCAGATGGTTCTAGAAAAGCTCTTTCATGGTAGCCAACTCAAATTGGAAGTAGTCCCCCGCCCTTGACAATGGCTCAAGCTCCAGAAGCCATCTAGAACCACTAGACACCTTGAGGATATCAGATAGTGCCAAGAATGAACGGAACAAAAAAGAAAACACGAGTCCCTGATGGCTGTGAAGTAACCAGTGCTGGACTTCCCTTCCCTCTGGACTCTAATCCAAAAGAAAAATCAATCTCTACCTCGACTGAACTGTTATTTGGATTTTCTCTCATAGCCAAATCTAATCCTAATTAATAAACATAATATTCTTTTAGTTGGTTAAATTGCAAATCTGGGCACAATATCCTCCTTCTGAAGTACAAGCTAAAAGTCAGGCCTGCTTAGAAATATAATACTGACATAATTTTCTATACTTGCTGCCAATACTTAAGGATCAGTTTAAATGAGACAAATAATCATCTTGTTCTTGACAATCTTTAGTAACACATCTAGGCATCTCTTGTCAGACATTTCCATGTTTACAAAGAAGTCACAAAAGCATTCTGGATGATGTCTATAATTTCTATGTATGAGTTCTATCACTCATAATTCCACCTATACCTTCAAAGATGTGAGGAGTTCCTGCTGGCTGCATTATTGCTCCTTGTATTAAATACCGAGACCGAACAATACTCTGGCAGGCTTTGGATACTCAGGACAACTTCTAGATTACTGAGTAGCTTGAAGCTTTTCTCAAAGATGGACTAAGTCCAAGATGCTACTGTAGAAAGGGCTCAAGTCAGTCTTTGATCTATTCTGCTACCAACCCTGAAAATTCCTTCATGTCTGTTTTGTCGTCTATAAAGAGGAGGGAAGCATTTAGACTGGTTTCCTTTTAAAACCAAAATTCTGACAATAGCTAGGAATTCCTTCTAGCTACCTTCTAGGTTCCTCTTTGTAAAGCCATAGAACCCATATGAATGAGGCATGCCTCCATGTTATACAGAATATGTTTGGGTCAAATTAGAATGTAAGCTGGTAGTGGTAGTCGACTAGAAATGTGTCTGTTAGAAACATCTCCAGGGGCGCCTCAGTCAGTTAAATGTCTGCTATCCGCTCCAGTCATGATCCTGGGGGCCTGGGATGAGCCCCACATTGGGCTCCCTGCTCATCAGGGAGTCTACTTCTTCCTCTCCCTCTGCCCATCCCCCTGCTTGTGCATGTGCACGGTCTGTCTCTGTGTCAAATAAATAAATAAAATCTTCAAAAAAAAAAAACATAAAAGACTTGTCTGTTTAGCTTCTTAGGTATTAGAGAAAATGTGCCAAATATGAAAGTCTCTTTGGGAGATGTAGCCATAATTTATTAGAACTATCTGTACAGAAAGATACCCACTCAAGTTCCATTCTGTGCCAGTGTTTCACATGACTGCCCATAAAGTGGCCAATGTTGGTGGTGAAAGACACAGATATAAGCCCACTAAGAAAGTCTCTCTCTCTCTCTTTTTTTAAAGTCTATCTCTTTGATCAGAGATTAGCACACAGTAACGACTTATCCTGGGCTGAATTTCAATGAGAAATACTGTATATTCTAATTCACTGTTCTTCAACAGAGCCATGTTGAATTCAGAGCTTAAGAAATTTTTTTTTTAAGATTTTATTTATTTATTTATTTGACAGAGAGAGAGAGAGAGAGCACAAGCAGGCAGAGAGGCAGGCAGAGGCAGAGAGAGAAGCAGGCTCCCCACTGAGCAAGGAGCCCGATGCGGGGCTCGATCCCAGGACTCTGAGACCACGACCCAAGCCGAAGGCAGCGGCTTAACCCACTGAGCCACCCAGGCACCCCATAGCTTAAGAAATTTTTAATCCATAAACATGATGCTGTGAACCCTTTAAGAAGACAAGGGATGAGGTCAGAGCCTTAAATGCAATAAGGTACTTCCTAGAAGTAAGTGTGAGGTAATGGGAACAAAGTGGGAGAGATGGGCAAGGCAGATATGCACTGAATTTTTTGATCCATGGTATTTCAAAGCTAAGTAGTTTCATAATCTCTCATCTGCTCTGGAAATCAAGCACTAATTAAGATCTCCCTCCTAAACTGGTCAACTGCATAAAAGCCTGGAAATTAAAGAAGTAAATTCTGAGTTTTCTTCTCCTGAAAAATTTCCAATGGATTTCATCATATGCTATTTAGCCACAGGTTAAATCTCTTATAAACCAAAACTGCAAGGTTATATGTACCCTGTACATATTATCTTGTACATTTTTTTTAAAGGTTTTATTTATTTGTTTGACAGAGATCACAAGTAGGCAGAGAGGCAGGCAGAGGGAGGAGGAAGCAGGCTCCCCGCTGAGCAGAGAGCCCCATGCGGGGCTTGATCCCAGGACCCTGAGACCACGACCCGAGCCGAAGGCAGAGGCTTAACCCACTGAGCCACCCAGGTGCCCCTATCTTGTACATTTTTGCAGAGTACTTTAAGACAGCTTTCCCACCCATCAATAACACATTCTTATAAATCCTGCTGGACAGGGGCACCTGAATGCTCTCTGCTCAGCGGGGAGCCTGCTTCCCCCCGCCCCCTCTGCCTGCTGCTCTACCTGCTTGTGATCTCTCTCTTGTCAAATAAGTAAATAAAATCTTAAAAAAAAATCCTGCTGGACACACAGCTCACACACATATCAAGTTGCACAGAACAGGAAGTGAGGTTTACCACATGACAGCTAATTTTCAGTCTGTCATAAATTTAACTTGGGTTAAACACACCAAATCAAGGATAATGGCTTCTTTATCATCCAAGCTGTTAGCTAAAAAGATTCCAAAATGCATTATGAACAGTAACTACTCTAAGTAGAGATATTTTTAAAAAGCACATCAGGCTGAGAACTGAAATAGAACCACCTCAAAGCTTTTGGCAATTTGATCACATTATTGCCTAACAATTAGCCTTTCAT